TGCTGACACTGGTTCCCTCAATATTCTCATCCTTCTCGACCTGAGTGCAGCCTTCGATACCGTGAGCCACAACATCCTGCTCACCCGACTCAGGGACATTGGTATTGAAGGTATTGCACTCAGATGGCTCCAGTCCTACCTCACTGAACGATCCCACTTCATCTCCCTCCCCAACCACTCCTCTGCCACAGCTTCAGTCACCCAAGGCGTTCCTCAAGGATCAGTACTTGGACCCCTCCTCTCCATCATTTACATCCTGCCCCTCGGTCAGATACTCCGCCACTTCAACCTGGACTTCCACTGCTATGCTGATGACACTCAGATCTACCTCAGCATCAAATCCCTCCATAACCCACCCCTTACCCACATCGATTCCTGTCTGACAGCTATTAAAACTTGGATGCAACATAACCTCCTCAAACTGAACAGCAACAAAACAGAACTCCTCCTAATTCGGCTCCAAATCCAACCCTCAGCAAGGTCACTAACATAACACTCACCATCTGAGACTGCCAAGGCACACATTGTTTCCCCCTCCAATCAGGCACGCAACCTTGGCGTAATCTTTGACCCCACCCTCTCCATCGAACCTCACATCCGCCAAACAGTCAAAACCTCATTTTTCCACCTCCGCAATATTGCAAAAATCCTACCGTCTCTCACCCGCCCCGCAGCCGAACGACTAATCCATGCCTTCATTTCCTCCCGCCTTGACTACTGCAACTCACTTCTTTACGGCATCAGCACTACATCCCTCAACAGACTCCAACGGGTTTAAAATGCAGCTGCACTTCTCCTCACACATACCAAATCATGTCATCACATCAGCCCAGTCCTCAAAGAGCTCCACTGGCTTCCTGTCTCCCATCGCATCAATTACAAAATTATGGTCCTCACCTACAAAGCACTCCACCATTTGGCCCCCCCTTATCTCACAAACCTTCTCACTCCTTATCAACCCCCACGGTCCCTCAGATCCACCGCAGCCGGACTCCTATCCATTCCCACATCCACACTCTGCAGCTTTGGGGACAGAGCCTTCTCAGTGGCAGCTCCTAGGCTCTGGAATTCCCTCCCCCAAGATCTCCGTGACTCTGAGTCCCTCACAGTCTTTCAGTCCCGCCTCAAAACACATCTTTTCAACTCTGTCTACCCATAAGCCCCCCTCCTCTCAATCAATTTCCTCTTGACTGCCTTTTTATTTATACTATACTTACTTGTTTGCCTGTCCTTGTTTGTCTACCCTCCCTCATATTGTAAAGCGTCTTTGAGTTGTGAAAAGCGCTATATAAATAAAATGCATTATTATTATTATCTCAAAATACTGACAATTATTGTCAACATATAATATCTCTCAAAAACAAAGTTAGTTTTCTAAAATAATTACTTTTAAATGTTTCAAAAAGATTTACAGGATATTTTTTTCAAACCGGCAGAAATGGTTAATGGTCACATGTTCTGGTAATAAATTACACACAAGCACAAATTGTATTACCAGATGTCTGAACTCCACTGAGAGGCAGCCGTTTGAGTAGTCCTCGATGTCCATAACTTTAGTGTTGTTGGTCAGGATGAAAAACTGACGACTTCTGAGGAGAACAAGAAGGTAAAACAAAGAGGCCTTGTGGGTTTGTCAAATTTGTATCTATGCTGGCTGTTTTTATATGATACAAATGCAACTGATAGGAGAATAATTGTCTGAGCATATCAATACTCAGCTGTAGAATGTTAACAACTAAAGCACCTGCTTCAAGGATTGATATATTTTCAAGGTATTTTGATGAATCAAAACAGAAAAAACTTAAAGAAAGATTTATTGTAATGTTTATGTTGCAAAAATAATTTCACCTTTAAAATAACTTTCCTCTTAATTGATATGTAGAATTCTGCAATGAAACTCATTCTGGAAGCAGTAAAGTAAATGCAATGTAATGTGATGTTGTATAATGTTTGGAGAATATGTTTAAATTTAACATCAGCAGTACTTCCTGTCTTCAGCTTGTTTGTACTCACACTCTGCCGGGGGGTAGGTCCCTAGAGACACAAAAAAACACACAGAGATTTGCGTTTTGATAAGTGTGTGTGAACACATTTTTATTACGTTTTTAATATACACGTTTGTTTATTTAAGGATTTTTCATCTCCTGGAAATGCAAACCAGTTAAAAAACTTTGAGCCAAAAATCTCACTTGTCAAATGTTGTTTTGACTTTCAGCTGATAATCCACTTCTGGAAGTTTAACCAGGAGTCTGGAAGAAGAAACAGAGAAAAGTAACTGAGTTATCATTCAACATTACTACTCAAATAAGACAGATTTTAAAACAGGAGTGAAATAGCACTGAAGGAGTCATTTATGTGTATTGTTGGCATGTCAGTTTATGTTGTTTATATTTATAAGGGTGGTGTCAACCCAAGGTACTGTACACTCTTTAATAAACATCAAGCTGCATCCAACCACCGGAAATCATCTGTTTGTGCCTGCGAAAGATCACTCTTACCCCTCACCTGCTGGCAACCACAATATAGGACATTGGAACACTTCAATTGACCTTACAAGCACAATAATTCAGAGTTTCAAAAATCATCATCAGAGTGTTTTGTGTCACAAACCTGACTTTGGTGGTGAATTGCACGCCAGTCTTGATGATGAGGGGTTTCTGGGGATGTGTGGGCATGCATGGCTGCTTCTCCACCACAAACGAGCTGAGAACAAACCACAGTCATTCCAGAGTTTCACCCTTCACTTCACAGCAGCTGGGGTCATTCGATGGTTGTGTGTGCTGGTCCTGTATTTAGCACCTCACTAGGCCTGTATTGTGTAATGTGTTGTTGGTGCTGCTAGTTAAAGAGGACGTTTTTCGTACAGTACATATCAGTGTTTCAAGTACAATCTGTATATATTTGCACATGACAAAAAGCAATTCAACTTTCAAGCTATAAAACAAAACGATTACATTACAAAATGGGCAAAACAACCAGAGAGATATAAAATGGCCAAAGAAGACACACTATGACAACAGCGACAAAGTGCCTAAAGAATCAGAAGATGACCACAAAGAGGCACAAAAGGACAACAATGAGACAGAATGAACACAAAACACAATACATCACTACGAAGGTAGACCAAATGGGACAGAAAAACATACTATGAACACAAAGAGACACAATATGAGCAAAAAATACACACTATGCGCACAACATATCAATAAACGAAAAAAGTGTAAAAATAACTATAACGTCTGTGGCTCTTGGCAAAAAGATAGGGGAGATGCTGGGGCCTTTTGCATGTGGGGCCTATTGTCTACAATCTATATCATTATACAAAATGAAAGGACTCTTAGGAACAGCAGAGAACACCAGTCATGATCCAAACACATAATAATAATAATAATAATAATAATAATAATAATAATAATAATAATAATAATAATAGTGTTCAAAGCGCTTAAAACATAAGAAGGGTTCAAGGACACTAAAAGAGAAAAGATCCATCTGCATTATCTTGCACTGTATGGTTGCCTTTTTCAATAAGGGTACATCCTTTGGGTGTGTTGAGTGGTACGTTGTGTGGTGTTAAGGTTACCTCTTGATCAGGTGATAGATGAGGTATTTGACTCGCTCCTCCATCTGAGGTTTCTGCAGTGGGATCGGGTCACTCTCGTAGGTGACCTTCACGATCAGATCGGCCAGTTTGTCCAGCTGACGCTTCATCTGGAACAGACTCTGTGCTGTCAGAGTGAACCTGGGGGGGGCAGAGATTAGTATCTTGAAACACCATTCGGTCTTGTGTTCTCCTCTTTGCCTCCATCCTGACCAGCAGGGGGCCGCGGCAGCCAGAACACCTGATGACATGGAGGAGTTAACAAGCATGGCAAATCTCTTGTATGCTCCCATGCTTCCAGAGATCAGCAGTTGGAGAAAGAGGCCACGCCCCAAGAGCAGAGATGGAGACATATGCAGCACCAATTCGAACAAATCCAAGCACAGGTGACGGAATTGAGAGAAGGATATGATAACAAAGAAGAGTGACGTGAGAGTGTTGAAGGTGACGACGTGGCCTGATGGTGAGGCTCAACCCACCCAGCAGAATGAGCCGCCATCAACAACAAGGGCAGCACACATGCGCAGAGACCCCAAGTCGAAACCACTCAATCCAGAAGATGACATTGAGCACTTTCTGACAATTTTTGTAAAGAATGGCAGATGTCTGCCTATGGCCGAAAGAAGAGTTAGCTTTTCACCTTGTCCCTCTGCTCACAGGTAAGGCACGTAGTGCCTATGTTCTCATGGACATCATATTCCTTAGGCCAGGGGTCGGCAACCTTTTGATATGAAGTGCCATTTAAAAAAAAAATTGTGATCAGTGTGCCGGCGATCGTGAACTTTCAACCGGGGGGGGGGTAAAACAAATGTAAATAATTGGTTTAAACGTTGCACACGACGCGACGCAAGGCGCTGCATAGCGCCGGGCAGGAAGTGGACTGGCCAGAGCATCCAGTCAATCCCAAAATAAACTAATTTTACAGGACCTATCCCTCCGTAGTCTTCCAAGTAGGAGGAGAAATGCCAGCGTTCTCCTCCGGTTTACAGGCACTGTTTAAATTAAATATATAGAATAATTATGATGATGAATGCATTTTTTTACCACTAAAATACAGCAACACATCTTTGATTAATGTCGTTTATAACTGGGATATTACAATTATTATTAACTTTGTCTGTACAAAGTAGCCTGTCCAGGAAATATGACCAAATCAACAAAAACTGCGAGCCGGCACGCAAGATGCTCCGCTTCTGTAACGCGCCCGGTAGGGTATGATGCCGGAGGAGGCCGGACCAAAAACGGCAGCGCAGCCATGACGCACGCAGCGCAGCCATGACGCGGCGCAGACGGACCCGGTGGAATCTAGGGGTTACACTGTAGGTGCGCCGCATTTGCCCTTCAGATGAGGCTCCCTCCGCAAAATGAAGCACCCTCCGCAAGCTGAGGCCCCCTCCGCGAGGTGAGGTGAGGCCCCACGCAGTCTGCGTGATCGGCCTGTAGGGAGGGGCGGCCCTGCGCGTGCCAGGGGTTGCCGACCCCTGCCTTAGTCACCGACAGGTGAGGACCGAGGGCCGGGAAGTTGGAGGTGAGTGGAACAACGGTTAGTCGACGGACGTGGGAGGGCTGATGTGTGTGACGAAAGGTGAGTTCATTTAAATGTTGCCGGTTTAGTTGCCTCCGGGAGGCTAGTTGGAAAGAGGCCGGTCCTAAGCCAGTTCATAGTCCGGCATAAGAGCCGTAGAGGGGAAGGCCAGTTCGTGGCAATCACACCCTCAACGTAATCCCATTGCGTCTCTATGCCGCTATGAACGCGCGTAATCGAAACGACCAATACGCTAGTCATAGTTGTCGCAGGACGTCATTGCAAATGGAATAATAAGGTTATGTGAAAATCAATATCCGGCGACCTAATAGTAACTCAACGATTGCAAATGTTACATACACTAACACCTGACTCCAAATCGAGCATTTTAACCGATTGCAGGCCCCGAGTGAGTGGTTCTGTTCCGAGAAAGTAGGTGACCAAGAAGTGTGTGGTTTCGGTTAAAGCCGGAGAGGCTGCCGTCCAATAATAAAGATTTTAGGACCGACGGGAGGACCAGAGAAACCTGCCCCCGGATCGTCCGGAGTATTAATATTAGTATTACGTACAGCCTTATATATAAAAGTTGGAGAAGAACGACAGTTTTGAATCGTACACTAGGTGCAAATAAGTATGCAATCTGGCGGCGAGAGGGGGAACAAAGGGGTACATGCAGTGTGCGCCCTGCCAAGTCGTACGCCCTCCGGAAAAAAATACGTCCTTCACTTTTACAGAATGATTTTGCTTGCGGTCCTACAGTGACATCACATTATAAAGACTATATAAAAAAAACCCTTTTTAGACTCACATAAGTACGTAAAGGATGTGTAACCAGTAAGTGACCAACAGAGATTGGACGTTCAACGGAGAAAGTCAGGTAGATTTTCTAACGAAATGTTTTTTCTACCGACGATTGTTGTTTCACGTTTTATTTACGAAATCAATTTTACTAAGAACGTTTTTTGTGTTCGAATTTCGATTTTATTTTCCTTGTCTAAATCTTGATGTTATATTATTTCAGACTTATCTATTTGCTAAACTTATCAATAAATACAGGTTATTTTCCTGTTGTCCGTTTTAGGTCTCTTTCAGAAATCGGAACTAAAATTTTGTACACTCTCTGTGTCGTCATAAACTAACATTTCGTATAAAGTTCGTAGTGGTCACCAAGAAAGGAATTGAAACAGTCCTCTAGAACAGTCTTCTACGCGTGCTGAACACTAGTTCCTCGTAACTTCTGGACTACTCGAGAAGTCGGAGTTGGGCCTCGACGGTCCGTGACCTTCGCGGCCGGGGTCGTCTAGCCGGGCGTAGCCAAACCCCGGCGTTCCCGAGTGGTCCCTCGACCTCGGTCGATGTGTCGACAAACTCCTGAAGATATCCTAATAAATGCCACATGAGAGTATAATCCCATGCTACCCGGATTGTACGGTAACATTACTAAATTCTTGTACAAAACGAACTTTCGGACTTAGTTAGACGACATATCTGTAATTACTACTTGAAAAATATTTTTTAGATTACACATTTCATAAGAGACTCGATCGGTGATCAGTTAGGATGTTAACAACGTTAATAGCTAATGTAAAGTAAAGTAACCAATTGAACTGCGAAAATAGGTTTCGCCACCGAATGTTACCTGTCGGCCTGTAAGAGGGACCTCTTTGATTCGTTTCGACGGAAATCACCACCACAAGGTCCGACCCTAAACTTTGAGTGTTTGGAGTTAGAAGTCGGGTGGAGTGTAGGTAATCTGGGTGGTGCATGGGTCCTATGAACGGAAAAAGTTTTTCATCCACCTATAAACTATATTAAGTGGATCGGCGATCCGATTCTAAGTACCTAGAACAAAATTTGCGCCTCCTTAATCCAAACGTGGGACACAAGCTATAATGACATTACCTACTTAGGGAAAAATTGGACAACTTAACATAACGACCACACGGGTCAAGCTAGATTATTGTACAGTTATAGGGTTAGAGATGACTTCCGGCACCCCACGTGTTTGTCGTTCAACTTGCAAATATTTTTAGGAAGTCGTCGAAGACTTAACCTCGGAGACGTCGCTTTGAACTTCCGAGTTTGTTGTAAATAATAAATAAATGCATCCGACGATGACTAAATTTTTTCTTGTGTTTTTTCCACGGGACTTCTATGAAGCAAGTCATTACTTCGACGAGTAAAATAATCGAATTTTTTCTGGTCATCCGGAGTACGAAACATTTTATTACTAAAATTTTTATTAATTTACTTGGATATAATGACGGATTAGGTTCAGGATAAATTGAACATCCGTTAACTTCTTTGGCGTTATCGGTAAAAAACGTAAGTCGGTTGAATTTTACACGACATCGCACTAGAATTCGACACACATTCTATTACTATGAATTTCAGGGTACAGTAACAAGATGACTAGCTACCTAAGTAACAATGCCAGATGATCTTATCTAAAATGTGAACACGTTAAAAGGTTTGAGTTGTAAACCAAAGAGTATGATTTAGAAGATGTACTCATACAAAAAGTGAGAGCACAGGATTAGCCCGAACAAACCTCGGGGGAAGGAACCGGGGGGAGGGACGACTCCCGGGTGACACGGGAGAACTTAACGTCGCAGCGGGTGAGACAAAGACTACCTCAGATGGTGGCTAAATGTCGCCTTTGTAGTGCTACTAAATAGCACATGTTACCGCAATCGTTGGTCTTTACTGTGGTCAATCTACTCGTTTGGTCTACTCTTACGGACGCACCATACCACGGCACAACCGCCCCTGCAACGCGCCGAGCGACGACGTCCTCACCCTGTCACACTCGACGCAAGTAAAAGACGAACGACGCACCCTAGAACCGCTCTGTCCTCTGTATCGCCTTACCTGCGCCCTTCCCCACGACTCACCCCGACGTCGTGGGGGTAGACGCTCCGAGGTGATCGTGGGACCAACGTACACCATGTCTCACCTTGGGTACGGGTAATGTGACATTCGTCGCCAGAGAACGGATCTCGACCTTTTTCCGAACCAATGACAAACAATTCAAAATGACCCCTCCCTTGACAGCCATCTATCTTATTAAGACTAACGGATTGGACTCGAACTGGTTGGGAATTAAGCACCTCAAAGGGGGCTAAGTACAGATTACTGGCTTTGTAAGAAGAAATCAATAACCAACATCTAAGTATGAATTCGGTCTTATCGAAGAAAACTGAANCCGGCAGGCAAGACGTTCCACTTCTGAAATGCTTCTGAAACGCGCCCGGTAGGGTATGACGCCGGAGGAGGCCGGACCAAAACCGCGGCGCAGCCGTTACGCGACGCAGACGGACCCGGTGGAAACTAGGGGTAACACTACGGAGGAGCTGAGCTTATGGTTTCACTCCACATGTAAAGCTGCTATGGACACTGTCGCTCCATTTAAAAACAAGTCAACCCAAAACTAAATCCGAGCCTTGGCTAAATGCCACGACTCGGGCTGCTCGACGTGAATGCCGTAGAGCTGAAAGAAGATGAAATAAGGACAAACTACAAATCTCTTTTTCTGACATCATTCTTTTAAACTGTCACAAACCTTGTGTACTGTCACAAACCTTGTGTACTGTTTCAGACAATAGATTCAGTTCTTAATGCCCCTCAGACTACCTGTGTGGAGACCTCCCCTGCAGTCTGTGAACATTTTCTTCAATTTTTTATTAATAAAGTCACTTCAACTAGGACTCAAATCACTGCTCCATCAAACGACACCTCTGTCTCTGCCCCCTGCTTTGCTTTTTTTGACCGTTTTGAGCCTATGACTCTGCCCTCTGTGCAGGAGATTGTCTCCAAAATAAAGCCCTCTGGTTCTCCAATCGAACCTGTCCCTCCTCGATTTTTTAAAGAGGTATTCCACACTGTAGGACCTTTTTGTTCTTGACGTTTTTAACAGCAGCACAGGGGTTGTTCCGGAAAATTGGAAACATGCAGTTGTACAACCACTGATTAGGAAACCTAGTCTGGATCCCACAGTTCTTACAAACTTTAGGACCATTTCCAAATTGCCTTTTATGTCCAAAATCCTAGAGAAGATTGTATACAGTCAACTTCTCGCTTTTCCTGGAAGAGCACAAGGTACTCGAGGTCTTCCAATCTGGTTTTAAAACCTTGCACAGCACGGAATCAGCTNAATGTAGCGAAGGAGTCTCTAAAAATGACAACGTGAACGGAACAACTTTTAGTTGGCCGGCTGTAAGCGGTCGAGTTTGACAGCTCCA